TTGTTCAAAGCAGCTTTTCTTATAGCAGTTTGAGTGTTTAACAGAAGGGGAGGGTGTTGGGATTCCTATAACTGATATGGTGGGGAGCCAAACTCACTACCATACCAGACATACTTTATAGCATCCCAGCACCATTTGAGAAAGGGGTACGGCAGGGTCCCAACAGCGGATGGTTGGGGACCAGGTTGAATAAAGGGAAAGGGCTGACAATGACACTCTCCTACCCCCCAAGGTATTTGTAAATTACCTACACTGGACACTGTCTTCTGCTGGATACTCCCTGACATTGGGGTATAAAGTGGTGGCCTAACTAAACCACATCCAGTGTCTCTTGTCCTTCTCCCAGCACAGACAGACAAATGTGATTCAATGCCTTTTTGGAGAAGGTCCCTTTTAGCAGCTCTTTCATTTCAGAATATTACACATGACACACTGAACACTTCCAAACATACATGCTGATGTATTACTGATAACAGGAACTGATCACCAGACATTTCAGAGGTGGGGGTGGAGACATTTCAGAGGAGACATTTCAGAGGACAGTCCTCTTCTAATTACCACTTTATTCCCCTCTCCCCATCAAATGTTACCTTTTTAGTCACAATGGGGGGAAATCAACAGCACTGTTTTATATTGATAATACAAAATTGAAATTGAAATTGAAAGTAAAGTAGTTGAAAGTAAAAAAAAAAATCTGAAGCCATATACTGCATAAATGGATGTAGAATGGTATTTGAGGCTAGGGGACATAATTTATATAATTGTAGTTTCTCCTGATGGAATTTTAATGATATTCCTAGAAATATTTCTCTTGAAATAACAAAGGAAAAAGTACAGCTTGGGTTGACTGAATTTCAAAGAAGGAAGACTAAAGGAAATCTTTCCCTCTCCCTATATATCTATATATGTATCTATATATATGAAAGTTTTTCCTGCCAGGCAACAGAATGATATAATCAGTGTCAACAGGCTCACTCAGTGAAGTGAAAGCGGCTAGAGAAAGGGGGGTAAGTGAGCAGAGGGTGCAGCCCCCTTAGTTTTCATAAATTAGTTTGTATATAATTTTCAATTAATTGTAGACAGGCCCTATTTGTTAACAGTAATTATAGGTTTCTGCTACTTTTAAGTGATGGGCAATAATCTCTCCACAGTAACAGCCAAACAACGCTATTGATTTCAGTGGGGTTGTACAAGTGTAACTGAGGGAAGAATGGAGGCCATTCTGTGAACTTACAACCCACCCAAATATTGTATTACCCACCAAACACTTATTTCTCAGATCCTAATGAAAACATTGTCAGGGTGCAGCTCACAAAATGGGGATTTTAAATGTCTTACAAGTGCTATAGCTATGGCAGTTAGCTGTACTCTTTAATCACAACATAACACAACAGAAAATTTGGTGAGATTCTGTGCTGGCTTTCTAATAAGTGCAGCACAGAAGGTACAGCTTAAGAGGGAGGAATCAAAGGGTAGCATTATTTAGGAGTGTAGTAAGAAGAGGTCCTGAAACATAAGCCCATATATCACAGGCCTGAGGCTTAGGCCAAAATGCTCCTGGAGACGTTGCTAACATAAAGCAAAGTTGATCTGTGAGCAAGAGGCAGGTCCTGCTCACAGAAGTTGACAAGAACAGGGCTGATATTACAGAAACACTCATCCCTATGAGGTACTAAGCACTGGCTGCAAGCACATTCCAGAGGGGACGTAACAGAACACTTCATGAATTAACATCTTGGTACCAACACAAATCCCACAGATAACAGGAACATACCAATCCAGGTTCAGGACTGGGTCTAAACTGGCAGCATGATAGATAGTGATCACACGCCCAAGTACAAGGTAATGGGTGGATCTAGGCACATCAGAGGGTAGCAACCTAATATGTGAGGAGTGAAGTTTAACTTGTTTGTACCTGGGTATAAAAATGTACCTCAAGGGAGTTGTCTTTGTCTGATCTATGGGGCAATGGTGAATCCCATGCTACTGACTGAGCCAAGTCCATTGTATCCAGCACAAATCCTTAGCCTACCTAGAGGCATCTGATCTGGGGAAGCTATTACTGTGTTTCGTTTACAATAAACCTGGCCCAGTGCTTTGATCTTTATCTGATTTTTGTGGTATTTGGGGGGCTCTTTCGGTGTCGGCTGTGTTGGCTACTTGTGCAAGATAACACAACATACAGAGAGGCCAAACATGCAGCTGAATGGGTATCATCATTGACAGAGCAGAAGACCTGTCAGGACACCACACTGGTGACATCTGACTACCACAAGGAGCAATCCAGAATTGTTGTAGCACTGTGCACTACCCTCGCTATCTCTCAATTCCCTGCACGGGGCCTTGCAAGGATGGGGAAGCAGTGTAGGACCACTTAGCCATCTTACACTGGGGGAGTCACTCCTGGATACTTACAATGATGTTCCAGCCCCATTTTGCCTTCTATCCTGTAAGAGTTTGGTCAGTTATTTGCCATTCAGAGGCCTGAGGTTCCAAGCCCCTTTGTCCCATTAAGAGTAATGCTAAAGGCAATTTTCCAAGTGTTAATGGACCAGCCAGACTCTGGGGACACTAACAAAGCTCCCTGCCAGACAGTGTTCCCTCTAACCCACAGGGCAGCACAGCTTCACAGGTGATTAATCAGCCCCCTCCATTCAGTCAGCTCCATGTAGGAGCCCTGAGCTTCTGACTGGGCGGGGCTGATTAATCACTTTTGAAGCTGTGCTGCCATACAGTGTAGGGGGAACACTGCTTCCAGAACATGTTCTGGCTCCCTAAGAGCAGATAGTAGTATGGGTCTGCTCTGGGAAATCTGTCAGTAAAGCTGAATGTGTTAGAGGAAACTCTTTGGGAATGATGGCATGGAGTGAAAGTGATCAATGTTATGCAAGTGCTGCAGAAAATGAACCAGGAAAGCTACACCATAATGACACATAAGCTCTACTAGAAACAGATTATTTTTGCTTTGGGGAAGTGGTACAATTTCAGAATTTCTTCTGCTCCAGAAAGAATCAAACAAAAAAAGTAAAAGCATTTCAATATATATTTTAAATATCATCACTTTTTTTTCCATTTTATATTCCATTTTATAACATAAATTGAAAGTCATTCTGAAAAGAAAAAAAAAAAAAGAAAAACTCTGTTCCAAAAAGTGTGCCATGGAATATTATGACCTTACCAAAACTTTTATTTTCATTTTAAAATGAATTTTCAATAAAGGTGATTTTCCAAGAAATGTTTCACTTTGGATGGACTGGGATTTTCCATCACAAACATACCACAGGAAATTTTTGAACATCTCTACTATATACAGAAGAGAAGTTGCCTGCATCTCTCTAGCTACTGGATCCCTTCTACACACATAACTTCAGTTTTATAAGGCAACAGCCTAGATAGAAAGGAGAGGAATAGGGAGCAATCGTTCTATTACAACATATTCAGCTCTGGAAAGACCTAACTGGTGGCCAATGATTCTGAGCAGCAGCACTCTTGTGTGGTCCTTGGTGAGAGGGTTCACATCATCACTGCTGTTCTGCAGTATATCGAGGAGTGGGTATATTGTGGGGGCAAAAGGGAACAACAAGCAGGGCTTCAGATTTGCTGGATCTTCATTACCTTTCCTTAAGGATAACCTGACCTTCATGCCTCAAGTTGGGGATACTGAAGGATGATGGCATGAAAGCATGGCTCCTCAAGTACCTTTGTGTTCATTTCCATTTGGGAAGGGGAGCACAGCAGTCCCAAAATACAATAATAATTGAGTAATAGAAACAAAGGATTTGTTGTTGCCCCCTGAAGCCCTCACTTTTAGTTGTGTTAATACACTCTCCTTGATTAATAGTAATTACACTTATTTGTCCAATTATGGGTTAGGCTGAAATACTCTGCCAGAAGAATCCTTTAAAACAGTTGTAAAATAAAACATGTCATTATGTATAGAGCCCAGTGCTGTTGCAGCTGTACATCGGGTTGCCATATATGAAACCTAACTGTGGAACTGATTGGGACTCTAACTACTTAGCCTATAAAGGTTTGAACTAACAATATTCATGAACTCCTAGGAGTTAGAGAGACTCATAGCCTATTAGATTATCCATTGCATCTTTCTGCCTGAGTAGGTTTGCTCTCTACAATGTATCTCCTATTGCTTTGAAGTCTGGTTTTAACTGTGTGAAGCAATGGGGCTTCCATTGTCTCCTTTACACAGCTATTTCACAGTCCAATAGCCCTTACAGTTAGGAATAAGCAAATGATTCCTAATGAATAATTTTATTTGATGAATGTAACCTCTTTTTTGTGGTCTCTGCAATCTGCAATTCTCACATGTATTTGTTGTACCTCTTTAAAATGTTTTACTTAATGGATTGTTTTTATTTCCTGGTTGAGTGAGCATGAAGTTACTTCTGGTTTGAATATCTGTGCATAGAAACTTAACATTTACTTTCTGGGAATACTTGTGTAATCAGTTATTAAATTAACTTTCCACAAATATTTCAGTAAATTTCAAATGTTTGCAGAATGAAACCATAAAAGACATGTGAGAATAGCCAATGTAAATTAATGTACGGTTTTATCTCGTAAAAAAGCAATAAATCAAGCTCAATCTTAAAGATTTGAATTAATATTCATAGACTTTTTTGCATTACTCTCTCAGCTCTAGTTAGGAAGGGTTTCCTGAGATTTAATTTCATTTTGACTAGATTTATGGTTTCTTAATAGAAATAGAATATTTGGGGATTAATGTGGTTTTCTTTGAGTTTGTTTTCCAACTTTAGCTCATATTTGTGACCACTATTTACTAAAATGTGGCCAAAACTGAACTACATTATTTTTGCAATAAGGCAAAATTGACTGGTAAATGAAACCTGTAATTAAAAATTATGTAAGTTAAATTTTACCACAATTATAACTTGGGTTAAACACTTCTGCATGAAAATAATAGCAATACAGGACAGAATTCTCTCCCCTTCCCTGGTCTGCCCTTCCCCTTTCCTACTTACGATTTACAAATCTGGCTGGCAATATTGGGTTGAACTTCTCAGGAGACTCAGCATTCTCATGATCTGTTATATACTCAAAGTTAATAATAAACATCATCGCTACTCCCTCTTGGTTTTTCACTGGGATTATGTGGGTGTTGCAAATGAAGGTGGACCCTAAGAAGGGAGAAAGAGAAAGAAAGTTTATATAAGTCAAAGAAGCCAGCATAGTGTCTTTTTTTCTTTCATCTGTAACACAGTAATGTCAAAAATCTTGCAGATTATTCCTTTTGCTCATCAAACACATGAAGCATTTTTTCATTTAAATAAGTCCATTTTGGCAAAGATAAAATGTAAATATTTTCTAATAACTTATCATGTTTACTAGTTTCAAAAGATTTCTCTGGTAAGTTGCCACTTTCTTTTGGTGCACTGGTTTTCATTCAGATACAGAGTATCACATTGTGGAAGTATTCAACATCAAATGCCACCAACAAGCTACCCCATCAACTACAATGCTAACTGGAGAATACAATCCCAGGTTCACTTCTTAAATGTCAGGGGTTCTTGAAACTTTTTGGTTAGGTTACAATAGAAAGAATCACTCATTAAACATTTATATGTGTTAAAAATATGTAACTATTCTTATTGCTGCTCTTATTATTTGAGATCTGCACAATGGCATTTTGATTTTACATTAAAATGATATTCTGCCCCTTTATTTTTAACTTCATCATACTCAATGGCAATACACATTCTATCACACAACATATCTCAATCTTTATAGCCAAGATTTTCTAACCTGCGTAACTGATGTTAGGCACCCAAATCCATGGTAACAGACCTAATTAAAGTGGCCTGACTTTCAGAGATGCTGACCTCCACATCTCTTATTGAGGTATGATTGTTTAGCACTTCTGACATTCAGGGTTCTTTTATATATGTGCCATAGTGGGGAATTTATTGTTTTTGTTCATCATTATAATTTTCCTTTGAAAACTGACATTTGACAAAGTCACTAGCTTCCCTCTGATTCCTAGTGTTCTACTAGTGTAATGCACTTATTCCCACAATAATGTGATTGCTGTTAGCAATAAGATAACAATCTACTAAAAGCTTCACACAAATACAACTGTGAGCAAGTATTTTCACAAGATGAGCAGGGACATGACCTTCAATTAATTCATTCAAATGTAATAATCACTCAAATTTAACAGGCAGTGTAATTTTTAGGGACAGATCCTGATCTGGGTCCCAGCACGATAAATCAGATGCATCTCCACTGAAAAGAGAAATACTCAAGATTCACACCATTGTACCTGAAATCAGAACCTGGCCCCTAATATTTAATGTAGTATTTATTATAATGTGGTATTTAGGGCAGCCCGAGCCATGGATAAAAACTGACAATCTGCCCCTTCAAGTTTTGCAGCTGTACCTTCGATCCATTTAATAAAACAGTTAAGCTGTGGCACTTGCCACAGTTTCCATGGTAACCAACTGGATGACTTTAGTAAACAGAAAATAAGCAATGTAAGACTGCTCCACGAGAGCTATAAATAGAAGTGCTGCAGGCCAAGTATTGCAACATAGACTGGTTAAGGGAGAGTCTGAATAGAGGCTAGAAATAACCATTTTGTTTTCTGCTAATTAGCCAAAATACATATTGACTTTTAACACTTAAAATGACAACTTCTTGATGCATTTGGAAAGACACTATTACTTTCCATCCATAGCTTGTTATTGGGATTTTTTCAGCATGTGGATTCTGTTGTGACATGCAGATTTACTGATCAAAGGATGATCCTGCAAGCTCCTTCCTCCTGCCTCTCCTGGAAAAACCAAATGTCAATAGACGATCCTGGGAGGAAACTCACATGGATCTGAAGGATGCTGAACTCCAGATGGTCAAGGGTGACAGTGACCCACAGAGTTCACTAAACATATGCTCAAGGCTACCTTTTGCACACAAGAGAGTTTTAGCTTTTGACGTCTTCCCTCAGTACAAAGTATTAATGATATTTCTTATGTACATAGAACATTTCACTCCCAACCATGTGCAACTGCTTTATATGTACATTATAGGAGAACAACAGCACAAGAACATGACAGAAAGTGAATAATATTATAATCAAAGGAAATTGCAGGAGAAATTGAGGAACACAAAGTGGGAGAGATTCTTGGCTGGTGTAAATCAGAATAACTCCAGTGAAGTTGATGGAAACATGACATTTACATCAACAGAATATTTGGTCCATAGAACCTGTCCATGAGACTAGTACCAGGGGGTACTTAATGATGACAAATGTGCAGAACCTCCAATTTGCATCCTTCAAGAGCTAGCACTTGCTGCTGCA